TGATTTACTTTTCTTGTTTTTGTATTATGTAATTTATTTTTCCTATCTTTCGGAGATATATGTATAAACCCCATCAGAAGGTAATAGTAAAAATAAAAATAAAAACGGCAAAGCCCAAAATAAATGGGCTGACATGTTGTGGAGGACGAAGGCCCATAAACCCAAAATAGCACCAACCAGGTGATCAAAAGTACGTCCAGTACTCCAAAATTATTCGGCAACCTACCGCTATTACCACCAACCAGGTGATCAAAAGTAAGCCCAGTACTTCAAATTATACATGAGTATTACTCATGTCAATCATACATAAACATTCATGAGCATCACTCATTCAATCATACATAAACATTCATGAGCATCACTCATGTCAACATTCATGAGCATCACTCATGTCAACATCCATGAGCATCACTCATGTCAATCAACATAAACATTCATGAGCATCACTCATGTCAATCAGCTTTAAAAGCTTCATTTACAAAAGCTCTAGCTTCAAAAGCTTCATTTACAGAGCCCTAACTTCAAAAGCTTCATTTACAAAAGCTTTAGCTTCAAAAGCTTCATTTACAAAAGCTTTAGCTTCAAAAGCTTCATTTACAGAGCTCCAGCTTCAAAAGCTTCATTTACAAAAGCTCTAGCTTCAAAAGCTTCATTTACAGAGCTCTAGCTTCAAAGCTTCACCTACAAAGCTTCAGTGCAGGGTATACAAATACCGCCTCCGAACAACCGCCACTTCGACCCATACATGGATTCAATTTGAAGTCTCTAGACAACAGACTCTATTGACCGAAGACTTGGGGGACTACATTATGTACCATATATTAGGCCTCAACTGGGCCTCATGAAAAATACTTGGGGGACTTAGCCCATTATTTATGTACGGATGAGCGAACCCTTATTCTATAAAAGGGACTCCTTCACTTTCATTAGAAAGCACCCATAACTTATGTATTGAGGAGCGAGCCCTTATTCTATAAAATGGACTCCCTCACCATCATTAGAGAGCATCGCCGCCTACTGAGCAACCGCCTCGCTGCGAGCATCACTCCTAACCCATCACTTATGTATCGAGGAGCAAGCCCTTAGTTTATAAAAGGGACTCCATCACCATCATTAGAGAGCATCGCCGTCTACTGAACAACCGCCTCGCCGCAAGCATCACTCATAACCCATCACTTATGTATTGAGGAGCGAGCCCTTAGTTTATAAAAGGGACTCCCTCACCATCATTAGAGAGCATCGCCGCCTGCTAAGCAACCGCCTCGCCGCGAGCATCAACTCTAGCCCATCATTTCTGTATTGAGGAGCGAGCCATTATTCTATAAAAAGGACTCCCTCACCTTCAACGCCACAAGCCAAACCAACCAAGGCAACATAAGCCACAAGCCGAGCAGCCTCACAACATATGCTACATCTAGTTGAGCCTCATTTCACATTGAGCACCGCCTCATATCGAGTATTCAGCTCTAGACGACATCTAGTTACTTCGGCCCACACATGGACTGAATTTCAAGTCTCCAGCCAAAAGACTCTCTTGACTGAAGACTTAGGGGACTACTGTTTGTACCATACTTAGGGCCTCCGTATTTAGATCTCATATAAATACTCGGGGGACTTAAATGTAATTATGTAATAAAGGAAGGGGCAAATATGTAATAAGTGAGGAGCCCTTATTCTATAAAATGACTCCTCACCCTCACAATTAGGGGAGGCCAATTCTTAGGCCTGAGATCCTCACACTCTCTCCCTCACAATCCTCTCAGAAATACAATATATGTGTGGACGTAGCCCAAACATTGGGGTGAACCACGATACATCTTGTGTTATTTACTTTCTTGCTGATTCACGGTCAGATTTATGTTGTTCCAAGACCTCCGGTTTTGTGCATCAACAACATTAAACTTTGAAGTGGTAAAAAGTCCATAGAGAGTCCTACTTTGACATAATCTCTTTAGCATTAACATCAAAATGTGAAGAAGGAATAAAACTTGGGGAACTTTTGTATTCCATCTTTTTTCGGTTCTCCTTCTCATCATGCAATGTTGCACAATGATGGGAATCGTCTCCTTTCAAGTTCAACCTTTAATATCAACTTTACCGAAAATCAACCAAATAAAATATCATTAACTGTTCATTTAACTTTGTTAAAATTTAAGTGTTCAACTGAATAACAATAATCTATATCATTAGATGACTAAACGATTTAGGATTAGATTGATTTCTACAAGAGTTGACCTTTAAAGGGGGACTTAGAAAATAATGGTGATCATCATACAACATTGTAGGATGAAAAGGAGAGTCAAATGAGAAGGAGAGCCAAAAAAGTAAAACGAGAATGTTCAAATGAGAAAGTAACAATCTTCAAAAAATTGTAAATCAATGTTTTTCTTAGCAAAGAGCTCTTACTGGACAATTACATTATCTTAGAAAACCGACTTTGAATTCAGTGAGGCCCAATCCAGTTTAAACCCGACCCAAAACCAAGTCATTGCTTCCAAGTATTACTGCAGCCTCTTAATTTCGGAGATTAGCAGTGCCAAGATACACAGGGTGCAAAAACAACAATCAATCATATACACGCTCATCTATGTCAACATAGACATGTCAAAAATTCACATGCCTCCAAGACCATTTACAAAATATGAAAAGTTCCGTTCCAAGAACTCCGATCTTCGATACTTTAAAGAAGGAACAATTTTACATGTCATTTTATGGGATAAACCACCTAAAGGTTTTAGCAGGCAATCCATCATCCTATAATCAGTTGGGATACAACGACCCCCTCCAATGAAGAGAAAGACAAATTTAAGCCCTGAAACCAAATAAATTTTAATCGGGATGATGAAATCAATATAACATCTGTGTAGAGAGAAGCGCATGCTAATTTCTACAATAGATAGAAGTAGGAGCAAAGCATAGAATGCAAACCTCAGCCGTGCATGCCAAATATCTCTGAAGTTAAGCGAGTTCGCGTGAGAGCAATCCCATGATGGGTGACCCACTGGGAAGTTCTCGTGTGAGTTCCCAGAAACAAAACCGTGATGGCATGGTCGAGGTCCAAAGCGGACAATATCATGCTACGGCGGAGTCGAGCTCATGATGTGGTGAGGGCCCGGGCCGGGATGTGACAATTTGGTATTAGAGCCAATCCTTGGCCGGAAGTGTGCAGACGATGACGTCGGGCCCCTAAAGGGGGTGGATTGTAAGATCCCACATCGCCCAAGGGAATGGATACTCTAAGCCTTATATGTATATTCTCATCTCTACCCAGCACGAGGCCTTTTGGGAGCTCACTGGCTTCGGGTTCCATCGGAACTCCGAAGTTAAGCGAGTTCGCGTGAGAGCAATCCCATGATGGGTGACCCACTGTGAAGTTCTCGTGTGAGTTCCCAGAAACAAAACCGTGATGGCGTGGTCGGGGTCCAAAGCGGACAATATCGTGCTACGGCGAAGTCGAGCCTGGGATGTGGTGGGGGCCCGAGCCGGGATGTGACAATTTGGTATCAGAGCCAATCCCTAGTCGGAAGTGTGTCTACGAGGATGTCGGGCCTCTAAGGGGGGTGGATTGTAAGATCCCACATCGCCCAAGGGAGTGGATCCTCTAAGCCTTATATGTATATTCTCATCTCTACCCAGCACGAGGCATTTTGGGAACTCACTGGCTTCGAGTTCCATCGAAACTCCGAAGTTAAGCGAGTTCACGTGAGAGCAATCCCATGATGGGTGACCCACTGGGAAGTTCTCGTGTGAGTTTCCAGAAACAAAACCGTGAGGGCGTGGTCGGGGTCCAAAGCGGATAATATCGTTCTACGGCTGAGTCGAGCCCAGAATGTGGTGGGGGCCCGGGTCGGGATGTGATACTTCTTCTCCCCCTTTCCTCCGCTACCATCCCGCAGCTTTTCTCTTTTCTTTTTTTTTCTTTGTTTTCCCAGCCACTCACGTGGCTTCCTTTTTCAACATTATATGATCAAGGTGCTTCCAAAAAATCATACGTCGTAAATATAATCGCGTTACAATTAATATTACGAAAATACGTAATTTTAAATAGTGAAATCAGGGGACAGGATTTCAAAAAAACCGTGAAGAAAGATGACATTGAGGGAGAAAACACAAGAGAAAATGCTAATTCGATAGAACTTCAAAATTAAAAATATATATAAAAAGGAGAGATATTGTGGAAGAAGATTACTGGACAAAATAACACATGAAGGAAAGATATTGTGAGGGAGAAATAAGAAAAGAGAATTGAAACAAGAGAAATGAACTTCCACAAACAAACAAAAAAGAAAAACACAAAAAAAAAAGAACAAGAACAAGAGAAATGAACGGTTTGGGGAAGAAGAAGAAAAATGAGATTTAAATTCCTAGAATTAATCCTATAATTAAGGATAAGATTAACATTAATCACAAATTTTAAAAAAAAACAGTAATTACTTAATTAGTCAATTTAAGGATAAATTTGGCAAGAGAATACAAATAGGGGTGTGATATCCACACACCCTTTTTTACTTCTCATCCACCCCTTATTGATTTCTATCATTTGATATTCTTCAATTAAACAAAATGGGAATATAACTAAGGCGTTTTAGCTAAAACAGTTTTTGAGATTTGCATAACACATTACTTTGATCCCTAAGATTTGAAATCAATAAAAGTGGTTCATGAGATTGTACACAATCAATCATTTTGGTCATTTAGTGCAAAATTATGTTAAATAAAGATCAAAATGATAAATCTACCCTCAATTAATAAACAATTGACCAAAATAATTTGACAAAAATTAAAGGTATTTTGATCATTCTATTCTTATTTAATGAGATTTTTCAAAAAATGACCAAAATGATTGATGGTGGACAAATTCAATAACCAATTCTATTGATTTCAAATCTCAGTGACTATTTTAGCTAAAACACCTATAACGAATAATGGCTCATAAAATTGGACTTATATCAAGTTTCCCCAAAATAAAATGATTCTAGGTGCAAGAATTGCAAACTAAATTGGAACAGAAAACTATATAGGGCTACATTATGAATAGAAAAATAAGATAAAAACACGCGGGGTGCAGAGAGACTAAAATGAAAAGTTAAATTAGTTTTTTTTTTTCGATATACAGCTTAAATCAGTCTTGATAATAACCTATTCCGTACAACAACAGAGACCGGTACAATAGCAATGAACTAATTTCTTCAAAGCTTGCTACGATATAGCCGTCGTTGGAGTGTGATGAACAAAGGAACTTTCGAGCCCGAGCCCAATGACAGACTCTCGTCAATCAAAAATGTCAGGTCATCATCATCGATTAGCTCCACCGGTCGGGTTGGTGATTTTGATCCATATGCTGTCGTTACTATGATCGTATATTCACTGGGATTTACCTCAAGAGAATTATACAGTTTCTGCACAAGTTCCTTGTATGTAATACTATCCGAAACCGTAATTCCTTTCGTTTTACCACCGATGTATATAGAATTGCTCCACTTCCCACCATAGTTAACCAAAAGTCTAAGTTCATTCATTTTCCTGAAAATACATGGAAAAGATTAGTTAGCAGTGAAAGTATATAAATTGATTAAATGAAGCAAAATTTAGACTAGCAGAAAAATCGATTGATTAAAATAAACCCTAGCCGTAGGTGGTTCCTCCTCCTCTCTTTTTTTGTTCTTGCTTCTTTTTTTGTTAGTCATTTTGCTGTAAATTAAAGAGTCCTTTGTGATGACTTAATATGAGCCTTACGCCGATGTAGTTTGTGTGGTTTCTGACAAATTCCGGCCTAATGGTGGACTATATTTAAGGGAAAACAAGGGACTTTCATTTGCATCATCGATCATGATCATCATCAGTCACCTTGAAAGATGGGGACGATGAGCAATAAACCAGAAGAAATATCCAACCATTTCAATTTGACAAAAGAGAGTGAAAAAGTTTACCTTCTAGTTCTAGAAGAAGATATTCGCGGTTTAGGAATATACATCTTCAAGCTCTTATCCAAACTTAGACTCTGTTCTATGAAAAATGCCAAGTGCTCATCATCGACTATCTGTACTGGTTGAGCAGGCGATTTTGATTCATCTGTAGTCTTCATTATAATCTCATACTCACATTGATCTATCCTGACGAGACGATACACTCTACGTAGAAGCTCCTCACAAGTAATGTCCTTTGACACCACTATTTCTTTCGCCTTACCACCAACGTATGCAGTACTAACCCACTCTCCATCGTAGTGAACCGAAATTCTAACTTTACTTATTTTCCTGAAAGTGAAATAAAACAATTAGGAAAAGAGCAATCGTGAAAAATTATAGACCTACGACTAATAAAAATATAACAAACAAAATCAATATAGAGGAAAATTACCTATCCCTTGTGTTACACTTGATACCGGTCGCGACTGTCGATGCATCCTTTCTTTCTGTAAAGTCCTCGAGACTCCTCTGTGAGTTGGATGTTTCCATGCATTCAAACATCTTCACAAGCTCATCCAAGCACCAAGTTGAAGAAGCAAAATCTGGTGAAAGAGTGACGAGGTAAATCTGTGATTCCTCAATTGCTTTTACAATTCCTGGGGAAATTGGTTGTCCTTTCTCAAGCCCTTTGTCATCTTTAAAGATGGTAAATTTTTCCCGATTCAGTGAAGCGTACGTATGACCCACAAAATTCAAGCGGGTGTCTTTGCCTCTAAAACACATAAACACATCATACTTCCGTTTGTGAGAAGAAAAAAGTGAAGAACAAGGTGCTGAGGTTTTAGTCGTAGGGTGCAAAAGCTTCCGTATTACATCAACAATTTCTTCAATGAGCTCTGATTCGTCCCTACAACAAAGGCAAACATGAAGTTTATTAGGGGTGGAAGGAAATGGCACAATTCTCCAATGGAAATGTCAAAAAAGAAAGGTTGTCAAATGCAACTTTGAAAGTGGCAATGTTAAAATTTTCTTTTGTTCAAACCCATATTGAATTAATATTTGTAGGACTACTCTTCAAAACTAATTGTCATGATTTATGATTGGTGCATTATTAGGATTCACAACAAAATATTTAAAAAAAATAATTTGATATCAGATTTTTCTCATTGTTTGGAGATCTCCACACACTTTTCCATCCTCTCTCTCACTCTCTCTTTTTTGTAACTTCTCCTACAATAACTTAGATCAGCGAGTGCATTTGTTTCCCATCATCACCACCGACTGCGGTTAGATGATTGTAATTTGATCTAGCTACTACCTAAATTTTGAATTTTTGCTTATCTAATGGCAGTGTAAATGCGGTGTTGCAAACATATATCATTTAGCAGCAGAAAAGAGTGAGTAAATATATATATACATACCGGCCCCTTGAAACCCACCCAGTGAGGTTTGCTACTTGGGTTAAAGCAGCTCTCCACCTTCGAACCTTGTCTGGGTCATCCTTATATGTTTCTTCGTGTCTAGCAAAGGCTTCAGCAAAACTCCCTGTTTGATATCGTACGTCAGAGGGATCGACATTATAGAAAATTGGTAGCACCGTTTTTCTTTTTCCATGGGATTTAAGAATCAGGTCAAGCTCCTCCAATGCCCATGGCGACGATGCAAAATTCTCTCCCAGAAAAGTAATTGCAGTCCTCGAATTCTGAATTGCAGCCTTGAGTTCTGGGCTAATATCTCTTGGAGCATCATCGTGGAAAGTTTTTACGCCGGCGTTCTCAAGCGCTTCATATAGATGACTTACAAAACCCTTTCTCGTGTCTTCTCCTCGAAAACTCAAAAATACATCATATTTCAACCTATCATCTGGAGGAGATGAATTCAAACCCAAAGTGCTTGATGCCATTGGAAATGTGGTTCTCACAACAGAACAAATGAGATTATTTTCACAAGCAATCTGCACTCTGCAGGAGACAGTACAACTTGTTAAAGTAAGCAATTTGATAATACAACCAGTAAAAAAAAAAAACCTAGTTTGCAAAATTCATACCATATAGGGAGCATAAACCATGAGCAGCACGCTCCCTGTGAGAGACCTTCCCTCTGCTTGAGGGTGATTCTCACTGTTTCGTGTGAGTGATTCCCAATCGTGTTCAAATTTGGTGCCGCCGATCCTAGCTGCGGCTGGGATCGGTGGGTGTTCCTTTTCTTCTCCCCTTCGCTGCTTTTTCCCCCTGCTTTTTGGATCGATCTAACCTCTTCTCATCTCACCGGTGTATCTCCTCCTCCTTCCTCTAATTCCCAACCTTTAGTCAAGTTCTGCCGCGATTTGTTGCGGTTTGTCGAGTCGGTGAGTACAGATCTGGTGCTTTCCAGTGGATCGGGTGTTTCTAACACCACCACCTTCTCTTTGCGGTCTGCCTTTGTTGGTAGTGTTGCTCGTGGATTTCCACGCGCTTCTTTCACTTTGCTGCAGGTTCTTTAGAATCTGTGCTCTGCTCGGACTGAAGATTGGAATTTTGGTTGTGGCTTGTAATTGGCTGTTGTGTGGATGCCTCTAACCCTCCTCTTAGAGCAGTTCCACCGTGGGCTATTGCCAGTTGGACTGGCTTTGGAACAGGGCCAGATTGCCCGAGCGAGATGCTCCAGCGTGTGCTGGCGATGCACCCCACACCGCCTTCGCCCCCACGCACTCGCGATCCCCCTCCTTCCACTCGCGCGCCCAGATCGCACGATTTGGGATTTGTTTTTGGGGGAAAGAGGAGAGAGAGAGAGAGAGAGAGAGAGAGAGAGAGTTTGGTTAGGGAGCGGGGAAGATCGGGACCGTTGATGGAGGCTGAGCTGGGAGGGATGGTGAAGATGGAGGAAGAGAGGCGGCGGTGGGGTGGTGATGCTGATGATCACTGTGTCTCTGTGTCTGTGTGTAAGGATTAAAGAAGAAAGAAACAAAGCATGAGTTTTGATGGGTTCTTGATGGATTTTAGAGAGAGAAAGAGAGGAGACAGAGAGAGAGAGTAATGAAAACCAGAGGCCACGCCTGCTGCTAGAAACGGAGAGAAAACACAGAGCACAAAACAAAGCAAAAAGATGAGAGAACAGAGAGAGAGAGGGGGAGAGTGAGTGAGTCCAACCCCTTTTTTCACACGGTCTTATAATATTTAATTAATTAATTTTTTAATAAAAAATAGTATAACGAAACTGATTAAAAATTTTATTTAAAACTACAAATAAAATTATTTTGTATTATTTAAAAAAATATTAATGAGGATGGTGACCACGACCATCCGATGCTTGGAAGCCATGTGCTATAAATTTGGAATTTGAAGGGAAAGCTGTGGTAGATAGGTTGTAGGGGTGAAGATGGCAGGGAAGGGAGGAAGGAGGAGGCGCTATGGTTTCTGTGGGTTGAGAGGTAGAAGAGGGTGAGATTGAGAGAGCTGAGAGCACAAGGAGATGGATCTTTTTTTTTTCTTTTTTTAATCTTTTTCAGAGTTAACTATTAAATTAGAGTTGGTAGTTGACAGGTGTCAAGCTCTAAGAAAGGCCACAATGATGTCACAAAGACTTTTGGGTGCAAAAAATTTCAACTCCATCAAAGCCGGCCTTCTTTTTTTTTCTGCAAATATCATCATGACCCTTTTATCTTTTCAGCAATATCATCATTATATTAAATACTTTTCTTTTCTTCACCATCTTCTCTCATCAACTTGTCCACTCTATTTACCCACATCTAGAATCAAAGTGATTCTAAACATGTCCAATTTTGAATGTCAAATTCTAATTCCTTGCGTGTATGATACCATGCCAAGTTCGAGTTAGTCAAAACATTTAGCCTATGTTTTGGGTGAGGAAATTCCAAGTTCCAAGAGATTGAGCGCATTTAAAACAAAATGTTAGATGAAGGGGTTAGAAAAGCCTTCTTCATGAGCATTGCAAAAGTATAGAAATGAACCAAATCGAGCCACATTCTCAGGATGTACAAATGAATCAAACCGAGCCAAAGCATTCACAACTCTATTTATTAAACGGACCTAACAGTGGCACACTCGCAGTTCATACAATTTGTTTGCCTATGCGAGTGACTTCAAAATTTTGGAGTAAGCAATCAAACCACATAGTTTCCAACTTTTTACACATGTGGCATGTGGCATGTGGCATGTGGTGTGGATTACAGATATACATCAAAATACAAGGCTCTGCTGACTTTAGTATGCAAGTGGGGGTCGTCTGATTTGGTAGGGTCAATTGGGCGCGTTTCGCCAAACCAGATTGGCGTGAGTTACGGAGCAGGTGGGTGTAAAATGTATTTGGCCTCGCAAGTTTCGCAGCAACATCCGTGCACGCTTGTCACACACCTAAGTCCCAGTAACCAAGACTAGATTGTAACACCACATTTTTAGGGGATTGGATCCTCTCCTGAGCTAATGGAGAGGATCCTCCTGATCAACTATTGTGGACCGTTGGATGAAAATCCAACGGTTACAAATAAAAAGATCTTTTTAAAGTTATAATAATTATAGCCGTTGGATTTTCATCCAACGAAAATCCAACGACCCGTAATTGTTGGTCAAAGGGATCTTCTCCATTAGCTCAGGAGAGGATCTAAATCCCATTTTTGGTGCGCTTTAGATCGCAAGTTTTCTAGGAGAAATTTTTAGTTGGAGTAGGAACACAAATGGTACATCACGTGTTGTTATGCAAGTGGTGGAAAATTTTAATTTTTAAGTTATTAACCTTTTGACACATATAATCCACAATTTCTATAGGAACGTGTGATATATCACCTCGTGTGACGATCATCCTGAAAAATCTCTCATTTTCTAGGAACGTTTAACTTTATCATTTCTAACTTCTTTTACATTTGAAGAAAACAATAATACTTTTGAGGGTGATTCTCACTGTTTCGTGTGAGTGATTCCCAATCGTGTTCAAATTTCGTGCCGCCGATCCTAGCTGCGGCTGGGATCGGTGGGTGTTCCTTTTCTTCTCCCCTTCGCTGCTTTTTCCCCTGCTTTTTGGATCGATCTAACCTCTTCTCATCCCACCGGTGTATCTCCTCCTCCTTCCTCTAATTCCCAACCTTTAGTCAAGTTTTGCCGCGATTTGTTGCGGTTTGTCGAGTCGGTAAGTACAGATCTGGTGCTTCCACTGGATCGGGTGTTTCTAACACCACCACCTTCTCTTTGCGGTCTGCCTTTGTTGGTAATGTTGCTCGTGGATTTCCACGCGCTTCTTTCACTTTGTTGCAGGTTCTTTAGAATCTGTGCTCTACTCGGACTGAATATTGGAATTTTGGTTGTGGCTTGTAATTGGCTGTTGTGTGGATGCCTCTAACCCTCCTCTTAGAGCAGTTCCACCATGGGCTATTGCCAGTTGGACTGGCTTTGGAACAGGGCCAGATAACCCGAGCGAGATGCTCCAGCGTGTGCTGGCGATGCACCGCCTTCGCCCCCACGCACTCGCGATCCCCCTCCTTCCACTCGCGCGCCCAGATCGAACGATTTGGGATTTGTTTTGGGGGGAAAGAGGAAAGAGAAAGAGAGAGAGAGAGAGAGAGAGAGAGAGAGAGAGAGAGTTTAGTTTGGGAGCGGGGAAGATCGGGACCGTTGATGGAGGCTGAGCTGGGAGGGATGGTGAAGATGGAGAAAGAGAGGCGGCGGTGGGGTGGTGATGCTGATGATCACTGTGTCTCTGTGTCTGTGTGTAAGGATTAAAGAAGAAAGAATCAAAGCATGAGTTTTGATGGGTTCTTGATGGATTTTAGAGAGAGAAAGAGAGGAGACAGAGAGAGAGAGTAATGAAAACCAGAGGCCACGCCTGCTGCTAGAAACAGAGAGAAAACACAGAGCACAAAACAAAGCAAAAAGATGAGAGAAGAGAGAGAGAGAGGGAGAGTGAGTGAGTCCATTCCCTTTTTTCACACGGTCTTATAATATTTAATTAATTAATTTTCTAATAAAAAATGGTAGAACGAACCCGATTAAAAATTCTATCCGAAATTACAAATAAAATTATTTTGTATTATTTTTAAGGTTAAAAGACTGTTTACTACTCTCATGTTTCATTGTTTTCAACATGTTTCATTGTTTTCAACATTTAGTACATCATTGTTTTTTCGTCACAGACTCATATCTAAAGTGTAAATTTTGGGACAGTTTCATATATTCGTTAGTTAAAATGTTAAGTCTCCCGTTAACTGTGACGTGGCGTCCATATGAACAATGACTAAGCGCCACGTGGGTCCACATGGATTTGTTTTTTAGGGGTTCAAAAAAACATTTTCCGACAACCATGTACCTACATCTTTTCCTGCCAAAAGTTTTTGAAAAAAAAATCATCGACTTTTTTTTTTTTTTTTCTTCTTCCTCGCGGGGACGATTGGGTTCCTGATTGTGTTTTTTTTGCTTTTTTACCTCCTCCTCCTCCTCCTCCTCCTCCTTCTTCTTCTTCTTCTTCTGGGTTTTGGAGGTTGGGTTTTCTTCTCTTCCTCCAAATCTGGGTTGTAGATTCGGTTTTTTTTTTCTTTCTTTTTTTCTTCTTCCTTCTTCCTCCAAATCTGGGTTGCAGATTCCGTTTTTTTTTCTTCTTCCTCCGAATCTGGGGAAGATGAAGGCTTTTTTTTTTCCTTCTTCTTCTTCCTTCTTCTTCTTCTTCTGGGTTGCAGATTCGGTTTTTTTTTTTCTTCTTCTTCCTCCTCTTTCTTCTTCTTCTTCTAGGTTGCAGATTCAGTTTTTTATTTTTTTCTTCCTCTTCCTTTTTCTTTTCCTTTTCTGGGTTTTTACTTTTTGTTCTTCTTCTGGGTTGGCGTTGGGGAGGTTGAGGGAGCGGACGACGGGGGAAGAGGAGGGAGGGAGAGGTTGGCGCTGTCGGACTCAAACATTGGAGGGTTCAGGTGTGTGTGGTGAGGTTAGTGTCGGAAATGGCGAAGCTTGATAAAATTGGGTGGTGGGTGTCTTGATAAAATTGGGGGATGAAATGGGTTCTGTTATGTGGGTATCAGGGAAAGGAAGGGTGTCGGTGGGTAGGGGTGGAGGCGATAGAGGAGTGGAGCCGTGGAGGGGGTGGAGGGTGGGGAAGACGAAAGGGAACTGGGAGGGTGGGATTTGGGGAAGACGAAGGGGTGGGTGATAGGAGGGTGGGAGGCTGGGCACAGGTGGGATTTGGGGAAGAAGGGGTTTTTTTTTTCTTTTAATTTTTAAATTATTTTAATTTATTAAATTATTTTATTTTATAAATACTTTATTTTTAATTTCCACGTGGATGACATGTAGTGCTCAGTCATTATCCACATGGGCGCCACATCATCACTTAACTGGAAACTTAACCGTTTGACTAAAGGATGTATGAGACTGTCCCAAAATTTACACTTTAGGTATGACTCTGGGATGAAAAAAAAATTATGTACTAAATGTTGAAAACCTCAAAACATGAGGGTAGTAAACAGTCTTTTGCCCTATTTAAAAAAAAAATACTAATATTTTATTGACTATTACCAGAGCTTTCAGTGTAGGAATAGAGATGCAAAAGACAGTTGCTATTCATTAAAATCAATTATTGTTCACTGAATGAATTAAATAATGAATAGTCCGGGAGGTCTTAGCAACGGTGAAACTGCTCTTAAGACCTCTATTTATAGATTTACCAAATAGATTAGAGGCTAAACCAAATCTACCACGACAAGCACATTCTATATTGTTTAATTAATAAATAACTAGTAGATGGTCATACACATTATGTTCATTTTATTTTGTTTTGTATTATATAAAGCGTTGATAATTTCAAAAAGTCTAAAAAATAATAATTATGAGACAATAATGTCGTAGTTTTTTTTTAGGAAACTGTTATTAGCATTTCAAAATCTCATTCTACATTCCTCATAAGTGTATTCTTCTTTCTAATTATAGAAATGAGATTTTTGGAGTGTTAATAACAATTTCTTTTTTTTTTTAACATGGACATTCTTCTATTTTTATTTTCAAGATCATATTCAAAAGAGATGTCAAATATGTCAAATATGATTAAAAGACATCCAGGTGTTCTTCAATGGATATGCCATATATAATGTGGCATGTGATTCATTTGACTCCTTACTTTCTACCTGCCTTTGTTTTACAACAAACAAAGAATGAGTCAAATATATTTAATTTAATTTTTTTAATGCATGGATCCTATTAACAACCAATAGAATAAAAATTAAAACTAATTTTGATTATTTTTTAGTAGTTAATGTAACTCTAGGGCTAAGCCCAATAAATAATAAAATAAAGGGTAAAAGACTGTTTACTACCCTCATGTTTCGTGGTTTTCAATATTTAGTACATCATGTTTTTTTCGTCTCAGAGTCATACCTAAAGTGTAAATTTTGGGACAGTCTCATACATCCGTTAGTCAAACTGTTAAGTTTTTCGTTAACTGTGACGTGGCGCACTGACTGGGCGCCACGTCTCATC